CCTATCCCCTCTCCCTCCTCTCCCTCCTCCCTTCTCCCTCCCCTCTCCTGCCTCCTCCCTCCCTCTTCTTTCTTTCTTTCTTTCTCTCTCTCTCTCGCCTCTCTCTCTCTCTCTTTCTCTACTTCTCTTCTATGTCTTTCTTTTTCTCTTTCTGCCTCTCATCAACCGCCCTCCTCTTCGCTCCTTCTCTCCTGGCGTTTTCCCTCTTCCTTCGTCCCTCCCCCTCCGTTCCTCCCACGCTCCCTCGTTCCCCCCCTCCTCTTTTTGCAGGGCCCACACCAATTCCAATGGCGGGCACATGTACGCCCAAGAAGGACTGTCCGCCCGTTCAAGTTTGCCCGCCTGTGTAAGCCCGCCGCCCCCCGCAAAGAGAAATAATCCCCCAAAAGGGGTGTGATCGAAGACAAAAAAAACGAGTATCGAGGGTGTGGGGAACTCGTTTTGAATGACACGCGGGCAAGTAAGAGCGAACAGTCTTAGAATGATTGTTGTTGTTGTCGTTTCCCCCCCCCACACAGGCGGGGAAAGTCAGGTTTTCGGCCCATAACTCGGATCTTTGGCGGCCGGTTGGGGCGATCTGGGCAACCCCAGACCGCCGTTGGCGATGCGCAGCCGCTTGCAATCATCCCGAGGCTGCCCAACCCCCCGCAAGCCCACGACAACGCTCCACAAAATTGTCGCGTGATGTTTTCCCGCGGCGTGGCACCTGGATTCGAATGCTAATCAAATCCTCAGGACTTCTTCCGCGTCTTCCTGCTGTGCACGCCTGTGCTCAGGCCTACACGTTCAAGGACTTCGTGCTCTGAGCGTGCTCCGCCATTTCTCCTCAGCGCCCGCGCTCTGCCACTCTTCTGCCTGTGCCCATTTGGGCCCCGCAGCGCCCCTCTCGGGGTCGCGCAAACATGGATGAACGATCCACGGACTTGGCGCGCGGTCGCCAGACCCGTGGATCGGGGGAGGCGCCCTCCCCAAAGTGGTCTGGTGCCGCCTCGTTCGGCGGCGGAAATCTGCGATTTCCCATGGAGACGGGACCCGTCGCCAATCCACGCCCCCTTGATCCATGTTTGCGATCGCCTGACAGATGGCCTGTTGTTGTTCTTGTTGTTGTTGAACACTCATTCTTGAAGAATAATTATTGTTGATCACCCCACACCGGTGCACATTGTTTCTTCAATTGAAGTGCCCCCCCGGGGTTCGCACCTTGTTTTTTGTCAAAGAAAGTCTTCCTGCTCAATCTAGCCCTTTGCCCCCTGGACTACAACAACAACGGCTCCCGCCTGAGACTTCCTCACAATTTAGCCAGGACCCCCGCTCCCGCCCGAGACTTCCTCGCATTTTATTCAGGAATCGTGCTCTCGCTTGGGACTTCCTTACAATTCGTTCACGAATCGCTCTCCCGGCGCTCTGGAGTCGCGCTTTCGCTGGAGACGTGCTTGCAATTTACAATAGAATCGCGCCCTTGCGCTGGACTTCCTTGCGATTTATTCAAGCGCCGCGCTCCCGACACCCCAGCACCCAGGAGTCGCGCTCACGCTTAGGATTCCCTCGCAGATTGCCTAGGATCTCGCTGCCATTCGTGACCCCGTGGCAGCCCTTCGTGGCCCCCTCGCTGCCCTTCGTGGCCCCGTTGCAGCCCCTCGTGGCCTCCTCGCTGCCCTTCGTGGCCCCGCTGCAGCCCTTCGTGGCCCCCTCGCTTTGTTTCGTGGCCCCGTTGCAGCCCTTCGTGGCCCCCTCGCTGCCCTTCGTGGCCCCGTCGCAACCCTTCGTGGCCCCATTGCAGCCCTTCGTGGCCCCCTCGCTGCCCTTCGTGGCCCCGTTGCGGCACTTCGTGGCCCCCTCGCTGCCCTTCGTGGTCCCATATATGTATGCCCTTCGTGGCCTCCGCTCGTTCGCGCCCGTGGTTGCCCCATATGCATGCCCTTCGTGGCCCCCTCGCTACCCTTCGTGGCCCCGTTGCTGCCCTCAGTGGCCCCGTTCTTGCCCTCCGCGGCCCAATATACGTATGCCCTTCGTGGCCCCCGCTCGTTCGCGCCGGTCTTGGCCCCATGTGCCTGCCCTTCGTGGCCCCGCTGTCGCCGTGTGTGGCCCCCTCACTGTCCTACGTGGCCCAATTGCTACCTTCAGTGGCCCCATCGTTGCCTTCTGTGGCCTCGCATTATCTGCCTTTCGTGGCCCCCGCTCGTTCGCGCTCTTCGTGGCCCCATACGCATTCCCTTCGTGTCCCCGCTGTCGCCCTTCGTGGCCTACTTCGTGTCCTTCGTGGCCCTGCTGTCGTTCTCTCTCGCTCTCGCTTTCGCTCGTCGTCGCCGTCGTCGTCGTCGTCGTCGCCGTCGTCTTCGACGTCGTCGTCGTCGTCGTCGTCGTCGTCGTCGTCGTCGTCGTCGGTCCCCTGTCCGTCCCTCTGGGGGTCGGGTCGACGGTCCGCGGCCGCCCCGCCGATCAGCGCTGCCGCTGGCCAGGCCGACGGTCCGCGGCCGCCCCGCCGCTTGCCGGGGCCCGGCCTGCAGGGAAGAAAGGTATACCCCCCAAAAGGGGTTCGATCGAAGACGGAGAGGGCGGGTATCGAGGGTTTGGGAAATACGCGTTATTGGACACTCGAGCAGATAAGGGCGAACAGTCTTAAAATGATTGTTGTTGTTGTTGTTGTTGTTGTTGTTGTTGTTGTTGTTGTTGTTGTTGTTGTTGTTGTTGAATTTTCATTTCTGAAGAATAATTATTGTTGATCCCCCCACCGGTGCATACTGTTTTTTCTTAATCAAAGTGTGCCCCTCGACGCTCGCACCATGTTTTTTGGCAGGGAAAATCTTGATGCTCAAACTGGGCCCCTGGCCCCCGGGTTACAACAACAACAACAACCACAACAACAACAACAACAACAACAACAACAACAACGGTTCCCGCCTGAGATTTCCTTACAATTTAGCCAGGACCCCCGCTCCCGCCCGAGACTTCCTCGCATTTTATTCCAGAATCGCGCTCTCGCCTGGGACTTCCGTGCAATTTATTCAGGGATCGCTCTCCCGGCGCTCTGGAGTCGCGCTCTCGCTGGAGACTTGCTTGCAACTTACTGAAGAATGGCCTTGCGTTCGAATTTCCCGCAATTTACCCAAGCGCCGCGCTCCCGACACCCAGGCACCCAGGAGTCGCGCTCGTTGTGGCCCCATGTGCATGCCCTTCGTGGCCCCGCTGTCGCCATTTGTGCCCCCCTCAGTGTCCTACGTGCCTACGTGGCCCAATTTCTACCCTCAGTGGCCCCGTAGTTACCTTCTGTGGCCCCGCATTATCTGCTCTTCGTGGTCCCCGCTCGTTCGCGCTCTTCGCGGCCCCATACGCATTCCCTTCGTGTCCCCGCTGCCGCCCTTCGTGGCCTACTTCGTGCCCTTCGTGGCCCTGCTGTCGTTCTCTCTCGCTCTCGCTTTCGCTCGTCGTCGCCGTCAGCGTCGTCGTCGCCGTCGTCTTCGACGTCGTCGTCGTCGTCGTCGTCGTCGTCGTCGTCGTCCTCGTCGTGGTCGGTCCCCTGTCCGTCCCTCTGGGGGTCGGGTCGACGGTCCGCGGCTGCCCCGCCGATCAGCGCTGCCGCTGGCCAGGCCGACGGTCCGCGCGGCCGCCCCGCCGCTTGCCGGGGCCCGGCCTGCAGGGAAGAGAGGTATACCCCCCAAAAGGGGTTCGATCGAAGACGAAGAAGGCCGGTATCGGGGGGGTGGGAAATACGCGTTACTGGACACTCGATCAGATAAGGGCGAACAGTCTTAAAATGATTGTTGTTGTTGTTGAACATTATTTATTCTAAAGAATAATTATTGTTGGGCCCCCTGGTGCGCGCCCCCCCTGCGCCGCCTAGGCCGCAGCTACATTTTCATCATTTTCGTGAGGAAGCCTCAGAAAAGAGGGTGTGTACAGGATCCGGTTGTTTTGTTGTAATCCGCTTTCCCTTGCAAAAAAACAATAGAAAATGACATTTCTTGTTCTAATATAATCAAATTTCAAGAATCCCTTGCAAAAAATAAGGTAAAGTGGACATTCGCGCGCGCAAGACGAAATCCTTCCAAAACCTTAGTGTTCGCAGCGATTTTAACATAAAAACATCAAAAAACCAATGGTTTTTCAACAAAAAACTGTCAAAATCTCATCCCGCGCGCTCTTGCGGATTCGTAGGAAACCCAACACTTTTTAAACATTTCTGTCAAACGGGCTTTTGCGAGCAACTTTTTCGAACTTCTGCGACAACGGTTGCGCACCTGCCAGGGCCATCATCCCTGTCAAATAATACCATGCGGGACACATTCGTTTTTTCTTCGCGCGCGCACGCCGAAATCTCCAAAAACCATTGGGCTTCTTAAGAATTTTAGCACCGCGCATCATAAAATCACACGAATCGCACCGTAGGTCCTCGAAAAACACCTGCACGACTTTTCAAAATTTCTACCCGCGCGCGCTGTCCGAATCCTAAAAAAACCAATGGTTTTCCAACATTTATGTTACATGAGCTCGCGCGAGCTACTTTCGCACGCTCTTGCAACGGGGTTCGCGCACCTGCCAGGGCCATCATCCCTGTCAAATAATACCATGCGGGACACATTCGTTTTTTCTTCGCGCGCGCACGCCGTCGTCGTCGGCCGCGGGGCCCTGAATAGTAGCCACGGTCGTCCGCATGCCACGAAGTGAAGTGTCCGAACGTCATAGGGCGGGAAGCTGGGTGTGGGTGGTGGCGAAGAGTCGTGTGGATATTTGGTAGAGCTTGCACTGCCCCCCCACAAAGTGGGGGTATTGGCTGGCGTCGCATGAAAACCCTGGCACTGGTGAGAACACTGAGCGTTCGGGTAAAGTGATTGTTGTTGTTGTTGTTGTTGTTGTTGTTGTTGTTGTTGTTGTTGTTGTTGCTGTTCTTGTCGCCTGACCCTCGGCCGCCTCCGAGCGCCGCCTGGACCCCAGCGGCTGCGGCGAAAGCAGCACCCCCACGGCGCGAGGCGGCGAGGGGCGGCGCTCCCCCCGCGGCAGTCCTCGTGCAGCTTCGCCGCGGCGCGGGCGAGCAGCGCGCCGCGCGCCTCCAGCCGCTGCAGGCGCAGGCTGTTCGACGGCGCCTGGCTGGGGAGGAGGAGGAGGAGGAGCAGGAGGAAGAGGACGAGGAGGAGGAGGAGGAGGAGGAGGAGGAGGAGGAGGAGGAGGATGATGAGGAGGTGGGGGGGGGGGGGGGGGGAAAGGAGTAGGAGCAGGAGAAGCAGGAGGAGGAGGAGGGGGAGGAGGAGGTGGAGGAGGAGGAGAGGAGGAGGAGGAGGAGGAGGAGGAGGAGGAGGAGGAGGAGGAGGAGGGCAAGGGCTGGAGGCCTGCCCTTGGCCCGAGCGCCGCGCGGACCAGAGCGCGGGGGCCGCGGAGCACCACGACCGAAAGGCCTTCCCGAGGGGGTCGGAGCGCATCGGCCGCGAGGGCGGCGCCGATGGCGACGACGGCGGCGGCGACGACGGCGGCGGCGGCGGAAAGGGGCCTTCCAGACGTGGTCAGAGCACCGTGCGAACAAAAAAATACGGCACGACCGGTGCCAAAACCTATACCCCCTCGGTCTTCTGCGCCGCTCGAGCTGGGCCGAGCTGCGATGGCCCTGGGGCGCAGGAAGCGGGCGAAAGCAACCCGTGTGGGCAGATTGCAGCGTCGGGATCTCAGGATCTCTACATGTAGTGTTGCGCTGGGATCCGCCATCCTGGGCCACCAAGACCCCTCTCAGACGCGGCGCTGTCTGGGATCCCTTGGATACTTCGGGCTGTGCGGCTGATCTTTCCGCTGGGAGCCCTGGCGGAGGCAGGGCCCAGCGCGCAGCAGGACGACCGCGTGGGGCGGAGCACCGTTGCGGCCCTTCTCGGCGTCCGCCCCTCGCTTCTCCGCCAGACGGCGCTCCCGAGGAGCGAGGAGCGAGGAGGAGGAAGGAGGAGGAGCGAGGCGCGAGGCGCGAGGCGCGAGGCGCGAGGCGCGAGGAGCGAGGAGCGAGGAGTCGTCTCGCCTCGCGTCGTGCCACTCGCGGTGGATCGGGCTGTCCACTCTCCCCGCGCCGCGGCCCGCCAGCTGCTTCCTCCGCCGCGGTGCTCGCGCCGCGGCCTCTGGCTGTGCGGCTGTTCGGCCCTCGCCTGCCTTCCGAAGCGGGGCTTCCGCAAGCTCGCCCTCTGGCGGCGCGCAGAACTTGAGCGATGCTGATTTGACCGCCACAAGCCGCTCTCGACGAGGACGCCGGGTGCTCGGATGTCAAGTCAAAGTGCCTCGCCGATTGCTTTGCTGGCGCCACCTTCTCGGCCCAATGCATCTCTGGCATCCCATGTTCGTGTGCCGAATGGTCAAATATCAGATGATACGGCCTCCCTCCATCAATCCCGCCCACTGCGTTATATGCCGCACCGCGATCATACGCACCTCTAAATGATGGCTTCATCACAGCGCTCCCCTCTGGTTCCAGCAGCCGACCCCGCGCTCGATGCCTGCAACTTCTGGGTGTGACGCTGCCCTGGAGCTTGCCAGCTCCGCTGCTGCGCAACGATATCAGACCGACGTTATCGTGCCGGGTCTTGTGGCTGTTGATGCGGCGAAGGCTGTGCTCTGCTCCCGCAGCGCGCTGCTACGCCGCCCGGCCCGCCCTCTGCCTGCGAGCACAGCTCACCTTGAGGCGCTGTGCTCGCTCGGGGCACGGGCGATGCGGGGCACCTCTTCAAACGAAGCCCCCGAGGGACCACGCGTCGGCGATGGCAGCTGGCCGGTGCGAGGGGAGAAGCGAGGCTGGGGAGGCCAGCATCCAAAGGGCAAATCCATGGTGCACAGGGCACGGCTCTCAAGTGTTCTGGCGGGCGTGCTCACGGGCCGCCGCTGCGCTCCTCCAGCCGGCGCGCTCCAAGAAGAACGGTTGACACCACCTCGAGCAGTGCTTCGCCTCGGGAGTGCAAGAGCCTGCCATTTGGGAGCCTCGCGCTGGCATCGTGTCGTTGGTAACGCGCATCTCCTGCGTACCTCGGACAGCATCCGTCGAGATGCCCCGCATCGACTCCTCTCTCGCGCCCCAGCCTCTTGGGGGCTGCAACAGCACAGGACGGAAGGACGGAACCTTTCGGACCAGTGCTTCAGACACAACCTTGAGCAAGGCAGCGGGGCTGAGGGTTGCTGCGCATGCCCGATGCCGCTTGTGCCGCCACGTCCCGCCCCAACATTCCACCACAGCGCAATGAAAGTCAAGATGCTTGCGGGTATTCACCCGCTCGCTGATATGTTGCTCTGCGACGAGGATTCGATGTGCGTGTGTGTAGGTTTGTGTGTGTGTGTGTGTGTGTTTGTGTGTGTGTGTGTGTGTGTGCTGTCGCAGCCTTGTGGCGGTCCAGCGGGCCGAGGGCACACGTAGACATGATCGTGCGAAACTGAAGAGGGGGGGAAGAGTGCGGGGGGGGGGAGCGGAGACAAGGAGGGAGAAGGATGAAATGGGAGAAGGTGGGGAGGCATGGAAGGCGAGAAGCGGGAGTGGGGACAGGGAGGGGGAACAGAGGAAGGGGAGGCGATCGAAGTGGAAGCGGATGGGGCCAGGGTAGGGCCGAATGTTTGGACTGCGTGTTGCAAGGGGGGGGCCTCGCGGCAAGTCCAAACCGTTGCGAACGTCAACCACCACGGAAGGCCTACAGGCCAGTGCAAAGGGGTGGCGGGCGGCACCCTGGAGGGGGCTGCGAAGAACTGCTCCTTGGGGCTCACCCGATTCGTGCACGCGTGGGGCACGCACTGGGCACGCGGCTCTTCACTGACAGCCAGCATTGCAGCCGCCCACCAACATCTGGGCGCGCCCTGCAGAACACCTTCCCGAAATGCCCCGCATGGCTCTCATTGCAGTGGATGCCGGAGGGAGGAGGAGGAGGAGGAGGAGGAGGAGGAGGAGGAGGAGGAGGAGGAGGAGGAGGAGGAGGAGGAGGAGGAGGAGGAGGAGGAGGAGGAGGAGGAGGAGGAGGAGGAGGAGGAGGAGGAGGAGGACGGGGGGGTGGAGGAAAAGCAGGAGGACGAGGCTGGGGATAAGGAAGGGCCTTGGGGACGGGCAGCAGCGGCGGCAGCGGCAGCGCATGCCCCCAGCTCAGTGAAGCATCCCCGCCAGCTCGAGGGGGCACGCAGCGTCACGGGAAGTGCATCCTTCGCGGCACGACGGGGCTGCCTCCCGCCGTCTGGGCCGCGGCTCCCCGAGAGGCTCCCTGTGGGGTAGGGAGGCGAGGAGAGCGGGAGCGGTGGTCGAACCAAAACTGATTCCACTCACCCCACCTCCCCGCACATTTTTACGTCGCAGCGCGGCAAGGGCGGTCCGCACGCGCGCTCAGGCGGTCCGGGCAACGGAAAGCGCAACTGAACGCAGCAGGAGAAGGGGAAGGCAGGCGCAAGCGGCCGCGAGGGAGTAAGGAGGAAGGCCGCCCCCTCCCCGCACTTGCACGGCCACCTCAGGGAGGAGGGATGACTGAGGGGGAATCCTCCTCCTCCTCCTCCTCGTCCTCGTCCTCGTCCTCCTCCTCCTCCTCCTCCTCCTCCTCCTCCCCCTTTTCCTCCTCCTCCTCCTCCTCCGGGAGGGAGGGAGGGAGGGGAAACTGGTGAAGGGGGGGGGGGCGGCGGAGAGGAAAGGCTGGGAGGCCCCGAAGTCCGAGGGCGAGGCGCGGCGGGCCCGCCTGCTGCAGCTCCGGGTAGTTGATCGAGCTCTGGGACTGCTCGATCTCGGCGAGGGCCCCAGCGAACCTGGGGCCAGGTTCGAAGGTCGAGGTTCGAAGATCGAGGTTCGGAGGTCGAGGTTTAGAGGCGTGTTTCGCCTTCTTTGGGCCTGCCACCCAGCACTCCGACGTCGCGATTTGCTCGCCGCGCGGACCCGCAGAAGCCTGGACACCACTCCGGGAGCTGGCTTCTCAGCCGTCCGGACAGATTCGGGCACCCCCGAAGGCTCTCGGCAAGGCGCAGCTGCTGGAAAACATCCCAATGACGATAAGGGGGGGGGCGGGCTCGGGGGGAGGAGGAGAGGGAGGGGAGGGGCTGTGGCGTAGAGCACGGGAACGAAAAGGACGGGGAGGGAACCATGAGGAGGACGAGGATGAGGATGAGGATGAAGATGCGGATGAAAATGAGGAGGAGGAGGATGCTCCTTCTCCCTCTCTCTCACCCTCTCTGATCCCGGAGGTGCGGCATCCCAGGAACGTGCCTGTGGCCTGCAGGCCGCCAGATGTCTCGCCGATCTGTGCTCGATGTTCAACCCAAAAGGCGCAGAGCTGCCGCGAGCCGTTCGACGTTGGCGAGCCACGGCGCTGCCCACTGGCGAGGGCCCACCGTGGTGGCGGTGCGTTCCTTCACCTTGATTGTGTAATCCCACCAGCCCTCTGGGCGTCGGTGGTTTAACGAGTTTCCTCTTCCACCCCTCCCTCTTCCCCTTCGGGGAGGGGTTTACCCCTCCCCCTACCCCCTACCCCCTCCCCACTGACCTGGACAGGGGGGGCCGCGGGTAGTTAGAGCGTCCAAGAACGACCCCTGGGAGGGCTAAAATTCGACACCCCTCACGAGGATCGTGGCTCCTGAGGGGGGGGCTGAAATTTAGGAACCCCTCTTCTTTGATCGATTTCCTCCACGATGGCCGCAAGAGGCCCCCAGGATGCCCCAAGAGGCCGCAGGATGGCCCCAAGATGGCCCCAAGAGGCCCCCCAAGAGGCCCCCAGGAGGCCCCCAAGAGACCCCCAAGAGGCCCCAAGAGACCCCCCAGAGGCACCCAAGGTGCTCCCAGAGGCCCCAAGATGGCCCCAAGAGGCCCCAAGAGGCCCCCAGGAGGCCCCAAAGAGGATTCCGAACGGGAAAACAGAGGCCCCCCCGAGGCACCCAAGACGCCGAAAAGCCCCTCAGGACGACCCTCTACTCGCCTGGGCGTCGTTTCTGGACGGGCTGGTGGGGATACGCGAAGCGTCTAGAATTGTGTAACTGGCGCTATACATGCAAGCGACATCGTGACGAAGTGCGCCGACCGTGTCACGGAAGCGCAGCTCCAGGACGTCGTCAGCCGTGGCGCCACCGTTCCCTCGACGCCGAAATGCCGGCGGCCGCCCCGCAGACCGATCCCCCCGAAATGTTGGGCCGTGGGCCCTTCGAAGAGCACATCCTGCGCAGCTTAGATTGGTGGGGCCCCGTGGATGTCGAGCAGGCCTTGCGGTGCACGGTGCCGGCCTGGGCGGGCGCCCATCCTTCCTTGGGCCCTTCACTGGAGGATGCCAAGGGTGCCGACCTCAAGGGTGCCGCTGAAGCTGGGCCGGACCGGGGGCGGGGCTGGCGCCTTCTGATGCTCTTCGACCGCCTCCTGTACGCCCGCATGCTGGCCAAATTGCGACCCCTAGATGTCAGCGCGACGCAGTGGCGCGAACGAGTCGTGGAGATCGTTTACGGCTCCGCTGGCGGGGCGACTGGTTGGCTTTATGGGACGAGGTGCGCATCACCCGCAGGGCGAACTTCAGCAATGAGCCCCCCCGAGGATGACGACTTGAAGCGCCTGGTCGCCCGCGTCGAGGCACTCGGTGCGGCCAGCGAGCGGAGCAAGGCGTGCAAGGCCGCTGTTGGCTCAAAGAATGTTCGGCGACCTTCCAGTCGCTCGCACTTGCGCGCTCAGCCTCCGGCCACCTGCGCCAGTAGAATCGGACGGGGCGGAGTTCCATCGAACTCGTCTGCCCTTTTTGTTTTTTTTGTTGTTTGGGGTGTAAGACCGTGCTTCGCACCGACATATTGCCTCGCCCTCCACACCTGACAAGCCCGAACGAGCTGGACAACGTCAAAGGGGATTTTTCCCTCCCGAGCAGGCGCGCCGGCCCGTGCCCAAAGTCGGGAACGTCGGTGAGCACAGGGACTTTTGGGAGGCGGCTGGCTGGCAGGTGCAGTGGGGCTGCAAGCGGCTGCCCCGCAGGGCAGGCCCTTTACTGGATGGCAGCCGCTTCGAGCATCGGGCATCCTCTTCGGCGGACTCCGACTGCGCGAAGCACCTCGCCATCGCGGCTGTCTGGTTCGCCAGCGGCCAGGCGCCGGATTTTGTCTACCGATGCGCCCGAGCTGGGCGCTTGCTCATTCTCCGCAAGAGGGACGGAGCATCCGCACCTTGGTCATCACCGCCGCGCTCCGGCGCATTGCACTCCGCGCGGTGGTCAAGGTGTCGACCCCCCGCGCCACAGCGCATGTGGGGGAGGGGCAATGCGCCATTGGCAGGTAGGGTCTTGTCGAGTCGATCACCCACGGCGTCCACGCAGACGTGCTCAAGGACAACGAACCAGTTGTAGCGTCCCTTAACATCAAACATGCTTCCGGCTCCATGAGCCGTGGTGTCATGGCCGACGATGTCGTCACTGCGTTCCTGGAGCTGGCGAACCTCGTGTCCACCGTGTACTGTGCGGGCGCGCCCTTGATGTGGGGGGATGGCGACGGGGAGGTGCAGACCATCACCGAGCAGACCGGCATGGACCAGGGGTGGCCCTTCTCGCTGCTCGCCTTCGTGGTCGGCCCCAAGCGGGCCCTCAAATGCCCTCAACCGAGCGCGCGCCCTCCTGCGCGAGGCTGGCCTCGACGGCGGTGTCCGCTTCAGGGCTTGCGTCGACGGCATATATGTCACATGAGCCGCTTCGCGCCTTCCAACGGTCCTCGCAGCCTTTCGCCAGGCCTTGGCCGAGTCCGGCATGGCGCTCAACGAGTCTAAGCTGAAGCTGTGGGGCGTGGAGCGCAACATTCTGCCGATGGACCTCCACCAATACCACGTGGAGACGCTCCAGGATTTGGGGCGCGCTGTTGAGCGATCTGGCGGGCAAATGCACACGTTGTGGCTTGGGGGCTCTGGCGGGTCCTTCGCTTCGGTCCCGGCCGCCCTCAGAGCCAACCTCGACAAACTGTGGGCCTTGCACCCGGAAGGTGGGCTCCCCAAGCAGGTATTGCAGGCGCTGGCGCGCTTGGCCGCGCAGTCGAAGCCACAGCGCGTCCTGCGCGGCGCCGCCATCTCCGCCGAGCAAACCCGGGCCTACGACGCTGTGGTCGAACGCTTCTGGGCTCGACTGCTCGGCGAAACTGGCACTTTCGACGCCCGCCGCAGGGTGCAACTACACCTGCCATTGCGTCGCGCCGGCCTCAGTGTAAGCGGGGTGGAGGTGCGTGCCGATACTGTCGCCGATACTGCCTTCCTTGCTGGCACTCTCGGGGCCATAAGCGAAGTGATTAGCACGGCTGGCGTTGGCACCGTCGCGGAGCTCTGGCACGTGCTCCCGCAGCACGTGGAGGGCATGAACAGCGCGGTGACCAGCCTGGAGCAGCAGGGGGGCGCGGGAGCAAACACGCCTATGGCAAAGCGACCAGCCGCAGCCCGTCAAAGCTATGCAGCGAGCCTGGACTCGAGCAGTCCAGCGCAACTTGCACGATCAGCTCCTGGGGTCGGCCACGCAGCGCCATGCAGCGGCTATCGGATCCGCTTCCACTCCAGAGGCCAGCCGCTTCTTGGACCCGCTGGGGGCCGCCTCCAACAAGATGACGGACGCGACCTTTCAGGTAGCTGCCCGCCGCCGCTTGGGCCTACGACCCGTGCCGCGTGGACCACACGACGCTACCCACTGTCAGAACCGGCGGCCAAATGGGACTAAGTGTGACATGGAGTTGGAAGACGAGGTCCACCACGCCAACATCTGTGAGATCGGTGGTGCGCTCGTGCGCCGGCACGATGGCAGCCGTGACCTCGTTGCCGCCCGGCTTGTCGCTGACCAGCACGCCTCAGTTCGCACGAACAGCGGTGCCTCCATCTTGACAGGCTTAAGCCAGACGGCACGATGTCCGACGCACGCTTAGACATCGCTACCGAGCTGGAGGACACAACGTTCTTCCTCGACGTCACCATCGTCGACGTGTTGAGCACGGACTCGGCCCTGGAACGGCAGCGTGCGTTTCGAGACAGCGCCGCCGCATGCCGCATGGAGGACGAGAAGCGGACAAAATACCCCGGCGCCAACGTCGTGCCCCTCGCGATTGAGAACTACGGGCGAATCGACGTGAACGGCATGGCATGGCTGCGCCGGGCGTACCGGGACAAGCTGGAGCTCTTCCAGAGCTTGCCCCGCGCCTTAAGCGTCCATGTGCAAAGCCACACGGGCGCCAACATCATGGCGGCCAACACTGGCCAGCACGGCGCGCCCCGGCAGCAGGCCGTCCAGATGTAGGCCGACTCGCCACGCTGGTGTTGGTTTTCTGCCGGGGGGGCTGCTCTGTAGAAAGCGCCCCGCCGCCAATCCCCATCTACGCTAACACTGTTTACGTTTCCAGATAATTGCCGCCAGTGCTTAGGAGAACAATTTCGCCAGTGTTTAGGAAAACGATACCGCCAGTGCTTAGGAGAACATCCACCTCCTGCGCGGCCCCGGCACCAGCAGGGACCCCAAGACAGGGGGTCGGGTTGAGCTGCCCGCGCACGGCTTCCCCCTGGGGGGCACGCGCCCTGGGATGGTAAGGACCTGCCCCTTTCCCCTCCCCTCCTCTCTCTTCTCCGTGTGCCCTCGCCCTCCTCCCTCTCGCCCGTCCCCCTCCCCCGTCGCTGTCGTCGTCGTCTTCGTCGTTCCGCCTCGTCGTCGCTGCGGCGGTCCCCCGGTCGGCGTCCTCGGTGGCGTCGTCGTGGTCGTCTCGTCGACGCCGCCGCCGCCGCCGCCGCCGCCGTCGTCGTCGTCGTCACCGCCGTCGCCGTCGCCGTCGCCGTCGCCGTCGCCGTCGCCGTCGCTGGCGGCGCCGGGGGGCAGTCCCTTGCTTTCCTTCGGGTTTGCGCCCCCCCCTGGGGGTGGCGTCTGCGGCAGCAGCCCATGCAGTCATGTGGCGGACTTTCGGCCGACACGCCTAAACCCGGTGGCCTTGTGTTTCAAAGTGGGACACATGCCGGGGTTGCGGACTCAGCAGGAGGAGGAGGAGCAGGAGGAGCAGGAGGAGGAGGAGGAGGAAGAGGAGGAGGAGGAGGAGGACGAGTAACTAGGAGGAGGAGGAGGAGGAGGAGGAGGAGGAGGAGGAGGAGGAGGAGGAAGAGGAGGAAGAGGAGGAGGAGGAGGAGAAGGTGGATGAGGAGGAGGAGGAGGAGGAGGAGGAGGAGAAGGAAGAGAAGGAGGACGAGGAGGAGGAGAAGGAGGAGGAGGAGGAGGAGGAGGAGGAGGAGGAGGGGGGGGAGGAGGGGGAAGGACCAGCAGGGGGGGGGACCAAGACAACCAGTTATACCATGAGACGGCTGACGCGCGACCCTTCCCTATTTGCACCTGCTTCACTCCGCGCGGCGGCCGCTGCGCCTGCTCGCTGCGCGATATCTTCAAAGAGGATGCCGAGGACAAACACCCCCCCGCCGCCGCCGCCTCCGTCGTGATTGTCGCCGTCGACGTCGTGGACGTCTGCGTGGTCGCCATCGTGGTCGTCACCGTAGTCGTCGCGGTCGTGGCCGTCGTGGTCGTGGTCGTGGTCGTCGTTTTGGTGGCCACCGCCGCCGCAGTCGCAGTCCATGGTCGTCGCCGTGGCCGCCGCCGCCCAAATCCGCTGCCGCAGCGGCCGCCGCCCGAAGGAGGCCCGAAGCGGAAAGGGGGCGGGGCCCGCGGAGGAAGAGGAGGGGGAGGAGGAGGAGGGAGGAGGAGGGTGAGGAGGAGGAGGAGGAGGAGGAGGAGGAGGAGGAGGAGGAGGAGGAGGAGGAGGAGGGAGGAGGAGGCAGGAGGCATGACCCGACCTGAGAGAGTTCATCCCGACCCCGCGCCTCGAACAGCTTGAACAACAGCTGTGCAACACTGCTTCGGAATGCTTGGGCATGCGATCTTGCTCGGAAAGAAGGACGAGCTGAGCGAGCGCCGTACGACCCTGACGCACGCTGAACATTGAATGTTGCGTGCAGTGCATCTATAGCTAGTGCAACACTGAGAAAATGGTTCAGATCAGTGAAAGAGACCTGGGACATAATGAACGCTGTGACTGGGTCATCATTCCATCCTTGGGGAAGTGACGGAAGACACTCACGGACACAAGGGATCAAACTCGTGCAAGAAATATGGTTAATAGTCTCATCACCTCCTACCGCAAAACAGCCATACCTATAACCCTGACGGCCCTGGCCGAACCTGCGGGTGGTGGCCCAGGCATTGCACAAAGGTTTTTACGACCGAGCTCGCAGCACAGGAACCGAGCTCTTGACCGATCCTGGCGTGCCGAGCGCGGGACGGAGGAGGAGGGAGGAGGGAGACGGAGGAGGAGGAGGAGGAGGAGGAGGAGGAGGAGGAGGAGGGAGGAGGGAGGAGGAGGAGGAGGAGGAGGAGGAGGGAGGAGGAGGAGGAGGAGGAGGCGGACGAGGAGGAGGAGGAGCCCGCGGAGCTGCTCGCCGTGCTGCGCGATGTGGGCCCACCGCGCCGCCAGGTGCAGCAGCTGCTCCTCGGCCGCGGGCGCACCTTGCGGGCGCGCCCGGCCCCCGGGCACGGGCGCAAGAAGCCCAGCGCACGCCGCGGCGGCGGCGGTGGCGACGACGGCGTCGGCCCCGGACCTCCGACGATATGCTTCGAGCAACCCCGGAGCTCTTCCCCGGTGTCGGCCTCTGGGGCCCGTGGCAGCCAGCGCGTATGACAGGGGCGCGCGGGACGAATGGACAGGCCGTGGAAGGCCACGTCGTCACTCTGCGAGCGGGGCGCGGCCAGCGAGAGCGGCCAAGGATGGGCCGAGAGGGAAGGATGCAACGGTAACCTCAGCAAATTGCTCATCCTCACTATGCGGATGGACTGGAAACGGAAAGCCACCCCCGGGGAAAGGCTCGGGACCTCGGGGCCGGGAGTGAAGCAAACATCAGATCGGGGGACGTCTGGGGCAGCGGCGAACGCGGCGGCGACGTCTTGCTCCACATGAAGGTGGGAGGAGGATTACAGGATTACAAAGGAAAGGGGGAGAGAAGGGGGAGGAGGGAGGTGTAGGAGAGGGCCGGGGGGATGAAGCAAACTAGGTGCTCTTGCGCCAAAGCTTACATCCTACCCATACCACCCGTCCCTTCACATGGCGCTGATGTTTCTCTATCTGCAGACGCGTGCCATAGCAGACATGGAACTCCCCAAAAGACAAAGAAAGACCTCATCGTGATATGGGCAATTGGAAAAGGGGAGCTGTGTACATACGAGGAGGGGGAGGAGGAGGAGGAGGAGGAGGAGGAGGAGGAGGAGGTGGCGTATTAACGGGAGGAAAGGGAGGATTCTGAGGAAGCGTGTAGCGTGAACTCCTGGCTGACGAAAACCCACGGGGGGGCGGCACGGTGAAACATAACATCGATCGGGTGAGTATGAGGAAGGAGTAGGACAAGGGCGAGCAGCAGCAGCGGGGACTGGAGGGAGCGGGAGGAGCAGGAGGACCAGTGGGTTGGCGGAGGGGGGGGGGAAGCAGAGGGGCGACGACGATGAGGATGGACTCGGATACAGAAAAGTGCACCCGCGCTGGGGCGAGAGTGCCATTCTTAACGACGGGAGCAAAGCGCCGAACTTGAAGAAATGAGGCCAACGCTGAGGTCGGGCATGTCCTCCTTCAGGCGGATTTGGGACGAAAAATGAAAGCAAGAGTCAAACATACCTCCCAAATGACGATTTTGTCTGACTATTTTTGAACATTCCTCCTGTAGAGGGGCATGTCCGACTTAAGCCAACGCTGCAGCGGCAGCAGCATTTTGAGACACCGAAAGCGTTCCGATGGAACACACATCAGGGAATCCGACGCAAAACAACTTTAGGCGGGGGGGGGGGCGACGCGCGAAGCATCGAGACGCCAACATCTCGAAACGTCTAGAAGTTAGAATGCTCGCGAAAACCGAGAGGCTCCCGAAGAAACGCCCCTGTGGGCTGCTCGGACTCTGTGGACCCCCCCATGGACCTCACATCAACTCTAAAACAGATCTGAAACACCCGGACAGAAGACACCTTCAGGAGGCTCCTGGGGCCCGACGGGAAGCCACGACGAAACGCTTGCAAGGGCCCATGAGGGCCCCCCGCCCGTGGAAAGCCGCCAGAAGCTCCTCAAACCGAGCGGATGGCAGCTCCAAGAGGGAGCTGGAGATGCCGACTTTGATGGGCCTTCAGAGCGAGCAGCTCTTGGACCACCGAGCGCCCCCGAGAAGCCCCGTGGAGGCATCCAGGGATCCAATGATCATGCCCTTGCGGGGTCATGAGGACCCCGCGGAAACTCCGCTAAGACCGCAACTGGGACCGAAGGCAGCCCCCGGGCGGTCCTGTTGCTACTCACTTCAAATGGGTCAGTCAGCTCAACATGAACCCTTTCGGGGCCTCCGAGGGCCTCCGATCCGAAAAGCTCCACGACAATTCCAGGAGGCACCCGAGAAACTCCAAACCCTAACGGCCGGGTGGGGCGGGCCACCATGACGGGCAATGTGGGGCGGCGAGCGGGTCGGGCGGGCCCTCGCGGGAGGGACGCGTCGTGTCAGGCGGGCGTGCCCTGATGGGCGGGTCGGAGTGGGCTGACCGGGCGGGACGTAGAAATGCGGGGCCCCTTCGCGTAGAACATTTACTCGGGCGGGTTGTGCGGGGCCGGCGAGCCGTAACGGGCGGGTCGGGCGGGCGGGCCCTGACGGGCGGGTCGGGTCGAGCCAAGCGGGGGGGGGCCTAACCCGCGACCCCGGGACACTGCAGTGTGGGACCCCGTCGTGTGGGACCGCAATTCGGAAGGGCTGGTCGGGTAGGGCGGGCCTTACTGGGCGGGTCGGGCGGGCGGGTCGGGCTGGCTGGGCGGGCGGGCCCTAGCGTGGCGGGTCGGGTCGGGCGATCTTGTTTTCATTTTATTGTGTTGATATGTGTATAAACATATGTCTGTATGTATATATTATATATATGTGCTCATGCAAATATGTATGTATGCTTGGTTGTATGTATGTGTGTATGTAATGTAATGTGGTGTAATGTATTGTAATGTATTGTAACGTAATATAACGTAATGTAATGTAATGTAAGGTATTGTAATGTAATGTGATGTATTGTATGTAGCGTATGTCTGTCTGTCTGTCTGTCTCTGTCTCTGTCTCTGTCTCTGTCTCTGTCTCTGTCTCTGTCTCTGTCTCTGTCTCTGTCTCTGTCTGTCTGTCTGTGTGTCTGTCTGTGTGTCTGTCTGTCTGTCTGTCTGTCTGTCTGTCTGTCTCTGTCTGTCTGTCTGTCTGTCTGTATGTATGTGTATATGTATACGTATATATATATATATATATATACACATGAATATATATATATATATATATATATATATATATATATATATATATTCATATATGCGTATATGTTCCTATTTGTATTTTTAATAGGGCCGGGGACCCCGAGAAAAACGCCCCCCCGGCAATCGAATTTGGTCTACCCCGAAGACGGCCCCAAAAGTCTCCAGGCGTTCCAGCGCGCTCCGAAACGACCCCAGAGAGCCCCAAGACGGTCCACGACGACACCAAAGAAGCCGGCATACCCCCAAAGATCTCTCCAAAACGTCCCAAGAGACTTCCAAGAGCACTCCCAAGAAGGCTTCAAGAGGCAACATTCATGTTTTTTTGTTTTTGTTTGAAAATTTTGGAGTTCTCCTCTTTTCGCCTTCCCGACGCTCCAAGACGGCAGTCTTCTGGGCGTCCGAAGCCGCCTGGGAGGCTCGAAAATCGCCCCACAACCATCCGAAAGGGCTTCCAGGCAGTCCAAGAAAGCCCCAACACGGCACAACAGGGCTTTAAAATGGCCTAAGATAGCCCCATGACGGTCCCAAGACGCCCTCCGAAGCATTCCAAATCGTGACCCGGTCGTTCAGGGAGAGCGCGGTCGGAGGCAGGGTGGCCCGAGGAAGCCCCCAAAGGCCCCCAGAAACGCCCAGGAGGCCTACGGAAGGCCCTCAGAAAGCCTGAAGGCCTTTTGTGAGGCCCCCAGAGGCTCTCCGAGAAGGAGCCTCCGCAAAAAGAGCTGACTGAGGAGGATGGGGAGAACACGCAGGGCTTGGCGAGAACGAAGAAGAAGAAACATGGAGTAAGACTGACGAATACCATTATTACAACGGCGATGCCGGAAAAGGAAACAAGGAATTATCGCTAAATTGTCGGCTTGACCTTCTTGCCATTCCGCCTGCATACCAAACTTCAAAGACCAAAGTGCATGGTGCGAAGCGCGAATGCAGTCTCGTATATGTATGTGTGTATATAAGATGTGTTTGTCAGTGTATGTGTGTTTTTTGTTCTCTCTGGCTTTCTGCCTCTCTCTCTGTGAGGGGGGGGGCAGGGGAAGAAAGGCCCGAAAAGCACTCAAGGCCACCGAGGCCCGGGCAGGGACAGCCCGCGGCGGACCGAGGTGCCAAACCGAAGTGGGGGCCACCGCCGACGAAGAGCCTCACCCAAGCCAGGTTCACTCTCTCTGTCTTTCTGCCTCTCTCTCTCTCTCTCCGTAAGCCTCTCTTTCTATGTTAAGATCGAGTTCTATACGCGCATTAATTTTCACATGTTTCCGCTACTTATGCAATGTATATCTGTCACATGTAGTCACCAACGTGTATGCCACTACGACGACAACGCCAATCAGGAATTTTCGCTGATGCTACCTACTTATCTTAATGCTCTTCCATGCCGCCCGCAGGCCGAATGTGAATGAACAAAATTCATGGCGCGAAGCGCAAACGCAGTCTGGTAAGCATCTACTCATGCATGAGCCTTGCTGTGTCCATCCGCTCCCGAATATTGAACAACGAATCTAATCTATGATTTCCCTTCTGCGACTCGAGCGCGACGCATGCAAACAAGTGGCATGCGTGACCTGGCTCGTGCATGATCAGGTGGCGAGGGGGCTGGGGCGAGGGCCAGGGTCCCGATGAAGACGGTCACAACCACGAATCATATATATATATACACATATATATATACACACAAGATTGCATTTGTTCTTCGCGCCATGCACCTTGGAGGCGGAATGCAAGAAGGTCAAGCCGACAATTTAGCGATACCTTCTTGCGGCCTTGTCTGGCATCGCCGATATGATAATGCTATCCGTTGTCCTTCCTCCATGATTATTTTTCTTCATTCTCTCCATGCCCTGCGTGTTCTCCCCATCTTCCTCAGCTCTTTTTGCGGAGGCTCCTCCTTCGAGAGCCTCTGGGCCTTACAACAATTTTTCAAGCTTTCGCAAGGCCTTCTGGACGTCTCCAGGGCGTTTTCTGGGGGCCTCTGGGGGCTTCCTCGGGCCACCCTGCCTCCGACCGCGGTCTCCCTGAACGACCGGGTCACGATTTGGAATGCTTCGGAGGGTGTCTTGGGGCCTTCTTGGGCCGTCATGGGGTTCTCTTAGGTCATCTTGGAACCCTGTTGTACCGTCTTGGGGCTTTCTTGGACTGCATGGAAGCCGTTTCGGATGGTTGTGGGGCGATTTTCGAGCCTCCCAAGGGGGTTCGGACGCCCAGAATA